ATATATATATATATATATACATTAAAAGTATAGATTATTCTATTTCATAGCATGATATATTTATTAATTCTAAAACTGAAATCTAAAACTGATGTTTATTTTCTTATTCTTTAAAAAAATTGAAATATTTATCATTTTTTGTATCACTTGATCTTAAAAATAAAATTAATCCAATCCATTTATCTAAAGTTATATCTTATCATAATAAATTTAAATAAATAAAATGTTTCTTAACCTAGATTTCATAAAGTAAAATTTACTTGGAATTACTAAAAATAATAATATTTAATAATAATATTTCTATTATCTGTTTTTTGTTTCAATATTGCTGAAGAATATTCTACAGATGCATCATTAATATCAGAATTACTAATTATAATGCGATCTGTAGTCACTACCAGAGCATTGCATTACAACAGAATAATGTGTTACCAAAATAGAATAACATCATCATATAGTTTATCATACAGTTTATCATACAGTTTTCACATATTTCCTGTCAGACTGACCATTATTTTTCCGGTGTGTCTCATCGGTACAACATAAGTGTGCTGATATTGTCAGATCGACTGTAATATAGTAAGCACCCTATACCCTATACTCCAAAGCTACCGGAATATATTTACGCTCCAAAGCTACCGGAATATATTTACGTTTTACACACGTCAGTCACCATAAAAAAGCGGTGCGAAAGAACTGTCCATCTTAATTGCGCACTCGACCGTGGATTCATCCGTCGACCGAATACAACACCCCGAAATAGTCGTTGCTTTCATTGCGATACGTACATTGAGGATGCGATGCGCCTCGTTCCACCAAGTTCTTCTTAAATCATCGAATATTATCGAAAACTTGAAATTCATCTGACTAATACCAAGTGCCACGAAAAGAAAAAAAATTTGCAGAAAGCGCGGACGAGAGAACTTTTAAAGAAAACGAAAACGACGCATAAAAGGAATCGGCAATAAGTTCAATTCCACAGTGCGAAGAATTGTCAAATTCGAAAATATGGTGAGAGCTTTCTTGATTTCTTTTTATTTAATTTTAAAAGTTGCATTTATTGAGATTGGTACATTTATGGTCGCTAATACCAAAGAATTTGTCTGAGAGTTTTTCTCTGTGAATTTAATATATATTTTAATTTAATTAAAGAAAAGACGAGAGAGAGAGAAAAATCTCTTAATTTAAAATCAATATTTGATTTAAATATAATCATAATTATTTATCGATTCTTTTGGAATCCGATTCTATGATTCCATTTTTCTGCCTTTTTTTGTATTATCTATTTCTTTTGTTTTATACGATATATTCTGTTCGCTGTTTTATTCTTACACAGAAACGTACCCGCAATATATTTATATTAATATTAAATTAAAAAAATCGGAACATGATGAAAAATATTTTTAAATAGATATTTATTGAAATTCTCCTAAATTATCGCAATATTCAGGTTTAATTTACGAATAAAAATATTATTTTTATATATCTTTTATAGTACCGAATATATCAAAGTTGTATTAATTTAAAATTCATAAAATGTTGTTAATCTGCTTGTTTTTAATTTGTATTTACAATAATTAATTTTAACTCGACATGTATGTTCTTCGATTAGAAGATCGTTTAAGAAGAAGAATCCATCTTTAGTTATAGAATAACGCAGGTCTGTTTCTATTAATATAGAATGAAATATTGAGTAATGAATCTAATTTTAGCATGAGCACAATCGATGATAAGATTTTATACGCAAATATACTGTATATTTAATATGGGAACGACCTTGCTCGTCGTAATACTCACCGCGGCATTGTCCGCGACTGCGAATAATATCAACGAACAATGCCAAGTTCACAATGAAAGAAGGATTACCTGTAATTGTATCGGAAACGAGGTATATTGATTAATTCTTATTTCCACACTTGATAATCACGATAACCTTATTGCACTCATTTGAACAAATGTTTCTGCACAGAACGATTTAAAATAAATCGCTAATTTTCGCAGACCATATACTGACTGAAACTATATATTATTCTTTTACAAAAATATTAATAGTCTCTGAACTGCAGCCAATTATAAATAAAACATTTTTAGAATGAGAAAATTAAAGAAAATTAAAAACCATTATATTTTGTTCAATTGAAAATTGTTTTTGGCAACGTATACAATTTCTTTTTTTTTTTTATTAAAATATAGTTAAAAGAAAAAATTATAATATGTATTGCGAGATTTAAACACGATTGCTTCTCGTATCAATTATAACAATTTTTCTAGACCAATTAAATGTTTTTTTTTATAAATTGGAAACACCACTCGAATGACTGTGTATCATTTTAATCTGTTGTTCATCAAATGTTAAACAAACATAAAATGATACACGAGGGTACGTGAATGATGTTTCCGAATGTAGTTTTTAAATTTAGCACGATTTTAATGAAATCTTTATTAACTTATCGATACCTGCAGCATTTTTATTAACATGAATAGAATTATTATATATATATAATATGTTGTTCGAAAGAATAAAATAATGGAAAGATTAGAGACGACTGATCAGATTTAATTTTTCAGGAATTTTTCTTACCGGATGAATATAATTACACAAATATTATCAGCGTATTTATCACGGGATGCGTTTCAGCCAATCTTCATTACTCCAGCCTACCGGAAGCAAGTAATCTCGAGGAGATGATCGTTCAGAATATTAGTGGCAATTTGGACTTCGAGATCTTCATTACATCGAGTAAAATGAAATTATTAAAACTATCAAACATCGGCCGGATACCGACGATCGCGAGTTATACGTTCACGACTCTGGCAACTATTGACACACTCGTGATCGAGAACACGATCATCGAGAACTTCGACGAAGAGTTCAATTACGTGCACGTGTCGCATTTTAACGTTACGAACGTCACAATCGAGCGGGTAAACCTACTCAACATGGAGAAGGGAGCGACATTGCGCATAGTGAATACCGTGCTGCGTAATGTAGAAACGTCTTTGAATTTGAACTTTCTGAACATCGAGATCATCGATTCCAAGTTTAAATTGCAGAAGCCGGGCTTAATGTCCATCCAAGGCGATGTTGCCGTTGTAAGGAATAGCATCTTCTCAAACGTCAGCATGAATCTAGTCATTGCGCTCGCGATCAGGATAAACGGTATTTGCGCGGATGGCAAAAGTACCTTGAGGCTTAGCTCAGAACAGATTTATAGCGCCGATAACAGATTGCCAAATGAGATAGCTTATCCGAGAAGTAGTCAGCACGGAAAATCTTTTATGATTCAGAACAATACGGTTTGCAAAGCGGGCAACTGCGAATGCTCGAAGAGCAGTGGACAAATTTTGTGCCCATCGACCACCCCAATATACATCCTCATATGTTTGTTAAGAATGCGTAATAAACGTTTTCATATCTGATACTTTCATATTGCAATATTATAATCTGAGTGAGATAAATTCGGCTTGAAAAGACTGTCACATCTTGATTCAACATATGAAAGTGTAAACTAATCTTATAATATAATTTCAGATCTTGATCGTTTCATATAATGCATTATTGAAATATTAGATAATTTAGAGATAATTAGCAGTCATTTATCAACTTAAAAATTCAGATTTATCACTTCCGATCTTACCACTTCACATAAAATCCAAAGAATTCTGAATGGAAAAATATTATTGTGAAAAAACAAAAGCTAAAACAAATTTCAAAGTGACACTAAGGGCGGTATTCATAGTCAGTTCTTATATTTAAGGTCGTTTTAAGATTATATTTCAACCAAGATAATCGTATAAGCTTACTTAAGACGATCTTAAATATAAGAACGGACTATGAATACTGGCCTAAGTAAATAAATTATGATGAACTCATCTGCGGGAAATATTATATTATATTCTGATTGACCAAAATTTTAAGATCTTTCTATTATACTTTAATATGTACATATAAAATAACAAAACTTATTTAAAACTTACAAAAAACAATATTATTACAAAAGTCTATATTATTATATTACTACAAATTACATATATTTCAAGCAATTGTATGCATTTTTTCTTGTATATTCAAATTATAATAAATTATAAATATTAATTGCATTTGATGCTCAAACATTATTAGTCCATATTCCAGATGATTCAATATGTAAATCGATACCAGTTTGATATAAGTCTAGAGCTTTCTTCAGATCATTAATTTCTTCCAACATATGCCTATTATTCTCTTCCAAACGACAAACAGTTTGCTTATATGAAGTTAGTTCTTTCTCATGCATTTTTTGTAAGATTTTATCTCTTGACGTGAAAGAACCTAAACAGATAAAAAAATTATACATTCATCGCAAATTATTCGCAAATCTTATTACATATATCTGTAACTATATTTATAAATATTAGGCATCAAACATTTCGCATAATATATATATATTTTCTGTACTTAGATTATTTTTGAGTAAGAACCCCTGACTAATAGGCAACTCACAATGCAGCTGCTGAATTGAATTAATTAGATATATTCATCTTTGTGCAAGAATTTCATAACAAATTAATAAAGTTATTATGTTACATCAACTCATAAAAATACAGAAAATATTTCAAACTATATATTTTAAATATCAAATAAATAAAAAAACTACATATAGCCATATATTTAATAAAATTAATTAATTAAGTTTAAGAAAACATGTCTACTAACCGGCAGACTTTTGTAACTGATCCTGAAGTTTCTGATTATATTGCATAATTCTTCTTATTTCATGTTCATGTTGAGATTCCTTAAACTGAGCTTGCTTCTTTAGTTTTTGCATCTGCAAATCACACATTTAACTTCAGTTTTTGGAAATTATTCAAATCAATATATACAAATTAAAATACCTGCTCTCTTTCTTCTTTCAGATCATGCAATATATTTTTACATTTAATATTAAGTCTTCTTTCTTTTTCCTCTGCTTGACATAACGTACGTTCCTTTTTTTGTATATCTTCTTTTAAACGTTTTACATGATTCTGTTAACACACAATGTACATTCTGTTAATACACAATTTGTAATTACATATTAGAAATTTCCTAAACATTACGTTATATAATTTATATATACTTACCAATCATTTTACTATGCAGCATGAAATGATACAAAAATTTCAATATTTATTGATATTTTAAAATGAAAGCAAACTCACCTGAAGATTTTCATTGTCATTAAGAGTTTTCTGATTTAAATTAATTAATTGATCATGTAATCGCATTAAATATCTATGTTTATGTATTAATTTCCAAGTAGCATTTATTATTTGTACAGATAGTTTTTTTGATAATTCTGGAGTTAATAAATCATTGTTTATAGATAGATAACCAATAGATATTGGTGATATATCAAATGACTCAAAATCCTATAAAATTAAATATTGATTAATGTCTGTATATGTTTATGTATACTTTAATAAAATTATTAGTCTTCATTACTTCGTTCAATATTTTCAAAGACTGCTCTAAATTATCATCTTTACAGAATATAGTCTCTTCACTAACAAAGTTGTTCCTTTCGGCAAGTATACTTCTTAGATTCCTTTTTGGGTAAGCACCATTGAACATTGCACTCATATTTATCTGTATATATTTTTAGAAAACTTAGATTGGAAGTAAAATAAAATTTCGTTTAAATTTTTTATTAAAAATAGTATGTTTAATATTTTTGTTTCCAATAAGAAAAGTAATAAATTAAATTATAACACTTATGCAGTTTGAATAGTTTACAGAACAATTCTGATACTATTTCTTTTTCTATTATATATAATGAAATATTATATTAAACTTCTTTTACAAAAATGTTACAATATATTTTTCAAAAATATTATTTTTCTATTTTTTACAATAAATTATTATTATCAAGTATTTTTCAATCATTTTCAACAATTTTTTTATTCAACATTTACTGTATTTGATCTTTTTTATTGTTTAACATGTAACAAATTTTGTCTTATATTAAATTTCTAATTAAATTTTCTTATGCTTCATCATATACTTTAACTATTTTCAATGTTGATGCTTACTTACTCAAAAAATAGTCTAGCATTTTGTACAAAATTTATATAAAAATATATGACATAAAACTAAATTACAATGTATTCGTTATTATATAGAGTGACAAGCCTTCTAAGCGTAATTTAACATACAGAATTTCCTTTGTCTTAGGTAGATTGATCTATTTATTCTGTTATTCCTAACCTCAATATTTATCTTTCTAATATCTATATTACTTTCCCAAAGATTTCACTTATAAATTTTCTAATTAGTCTCTTTTTCTCATTTTTACTCACTATAACGTTCTTATGTTGTTACAACGTTCTTATTTTGCACAGATCTAGCCTCGCTGCTGTCTCCGTTCCTCCTACGTTTGCATACAACAATCCCCTGTCTGTGGTGACCCCTAACTGAGACTGAAACCTAAACCTTACTCGCCCCTGCGCATGATCGCATTTGTAGATTCGTTCCTTTTGATTTTATTTTTCTTCAAATAAATATTTAAATAATATAAATATTATAAAAAATATTACCATAAATATTATATAATTGTTAAATATCATTGTAATTTTACGATTAAAGACATATAATTTTTAATCAAAAGTAATATGTAATATTTCTAGATGAAATTAAGTTTCTTTATTGCTATTAAAGTAATTATTAACTTAAATTCTCTTAAATTTGAAAATATATGTTAGCTTTAATCTCTGAATCTCTAATCTCTAGAAGAGAATAGAAATCTGATTTTCTAGTTTGAGTTATTCTTTCGAATAATGTAATATATGAAAATCAATTTATATTAAAGATATTTCTTTATATTACAAACTCTAATACTAATTCTAAAGATTTAACTTGCAATGTATAATATAATGTTTTTGTAATTTTTAATGTAAAAGTGTCAAAAAAATTAAGAAATATATCAACAAGTAGACAAATTTTACGTATTGCTGATTTATTGATCACAATACTACAATATGTATTGCTGATTTATTGATCATACACTCGTTTCCCGCATTTTGATGACATAAATTAGACGCGCGTCTACTTATTCATCATATACATTATCATATACGTTACAAATAGAAATTATAAATATATATCGCTAATATTATATTATCATGTTCATTTATATTCGCAATTATTATTCACAATATCTTTCATTGCACGTCTTAATAAACTTAATAAACTTATATCTTTTTCTTTCCGCTAAAAGGCACTCTTGCATTCATTCCTAAAGCACTTATTAAAGATTAATTCCTAAGGTAAATTTACTAAAGATTAAAACGAATTGATACAACATTGGAAGTACTACATTTCCGTTTTCTGGATTATAAGTTTTGAATTAAAAATTCTTTCTTTTAAACTTATGAAGAATTCTTCTTAAACCTTCTTAAATCTTAATCATATAATTGATTTTCAAAATCAATTATTTTGCTTATTTTACACATTTCTCTCGAAAGTAGAATTTGGCATTATAATAATAATCACATTTAAACTATTTAATCTTATTTAACTATGAAATACTTATATCATTTAATTTCTTTAATTTAATATTACATTTTTCTTAAATTTAACTATGTATGTATTAAATACAATATATAAAAAGCTAATATTATTAAATACAATAAATAAAAACGCCAATATTTTAAATATTAACAACAATGAAATAATTTACATACACACACACAAAAAACACGTGATCTGCACCTCTAAATATTCCTTCTCATAAGTACTAAATTTTTTAGCAAACATTTATATCATATAATTATAACTTATTAAATTTTTTTCATTTTCGACCGCATTTTATGAAGTAACCGTTAATCTGTATGCATTGAAAGTGGCAATTTTCATCAAATTTGCAATAATTTAAACATTAAGAAACTAATAATGAGACTTATAAATATTTTATATCAATACTGCTTGTTATATAAACTTTAGAAATTTTAAGATTAATGTTAAATATATTAATAATTAATCGAAATTATATAGAAATATTATATATATATATATATTCGCAAAGAAGTTAATTTTTTAAACACATGGCACATAAGGAATACGATTAAAATTGGCTCGTACATTCCGTTCATTGGGAAAAGTTCAGATTTCTAGAAAAGTATGTGTAACATTTTTAAATTACCCGCATTTAATTATAAAAATGCACTATACTTTTCCGACATCTTTAAACGAGCTTGTTATAAAACTGTTGTTTAATCTTTTCCGATGCCATAAAGCGGTAAAGTTTAAAAGTAAAGTTTAAAAGCAAAGTTTAAGTTGGTCGCGAGCAGAAAAAAACCTCAATCCTTCGTGTAAATTTAAAGTCTGTGTCAACGGTTACATTCTTGAGACACGAACGAACGAAATTGAATTTAACAGTTACCTTAAGTATATTTGAAAATATAAATATTTCATCTATGTTTACATACATATGTATATAGCCAGACAAATATATAATATCTGGTAGTATAATAACAAGCGTTATTTCGCCTTGCTTCTAATAATCTTTATAATAAAGCAACGACCATATATCCGGCCATTGTTCGTTGACTTTTATTAGTCTCTCATGCAAAACGACCGTAATTGATTAGTCGCAATGAAGCGACTATTTATTCGAACAATATATTTTTCTTCTTCCTATATATAAAATAGCTTCCAAATAATGTGAATGTGAATTGTGGACAATGTTGTGTAGTGAATGGTTCTGATAATTAGGTACTCATCTGCGAAGGAAGCAGAGAGGTACATCTTGGAAAATCCTCAAAAAAGCGTTCTTCGTCGTAAGTAACGAATAAGGCTCTCCGCAATATACCGCCCTGCTTCTCCTTTATACGATGTTTATCACACATACACACACATATATATATATATATATATATATATACACATATACATATACAATGGAAGGTCCTCGGTTAACTCATTGCATCGACAATGAGCTGGGACTTCTAGAATGATTTTCCTCTTTGCAGATGAGGCTCATAGCTCGTTTCCGTCCCTTGCTGTTCCACAACACATAGGAATGTTTAGTGCCGGACACTCTACGTGCTTGGCTAAAATAGATCAATAAACATGTTATATGAGAGATGCAAAAATAATTACTGGTTTATGAAAAACTAATGAATATACAGAATTATATATATTTGATTTTTCAATAAGAAAGAAGACTTTAAATTTCAGCAAACTTCTCTCGCTCACCAAGTTTCAAATAAAAAATCTATGTAATATTTACTTAAATTTAAATAGCATATAAAGTTTGTTATTTTTGTCCACTTTAAATTACAAGAAATTATTGAACGGTTATGATTCAAAAACTTTTAACATATTCCTTAAAAATGATTATTTCTAAAGGATAAAAGGATGAAATTAGTAAATTCATTAAATTGATGAAAGGAAGGTATAAAAGAAAGTACGTAAATCTAAAATTGAATTATTTAACATTTAACTTACGTTTGGAACCAGTCGTAATCTGTGATATACGTTTCATCGATGCAAAATTTTTCGTACAAATCTATTACAGGATAATTCACAAAGGAGGGACCTCTCTTAGACGGATCATCCGCCAGAGATCTTATCCAATTGTTAAAGGAAAAGAACGCCAAACTTTGTTTCTTATAAGCATAAATGCTGAGATTAGCCAAAGGTGGAAGAGTACAAATAGTGATGGCCGTATTTGAAAGGTGAAACTTAGACCGGAGAACTTGCAAGAGTTCCGTCATATCGTACACCATTTCATCGCAAGTGGCGTTCTGAAGAGAATTGAATGTTTCATCAAGAATCAAAGTATATTATGTTTTATATGCAAATAAATGAAGCTCGATTTTATTCAAAGGCTTTCTGTAAATACTTATTTCTGTCTCAGATTGAACAAATTTTTTTTTAACACGTATATTCAATATATAATTTTTAATACATTATTTGTGTAGCCCATACACGTTCTAATAAGGCAAAGTAAAATTAACTTACATTGTAAATATCAACCGAACCAAGCAGAATTACGACACGATTGGAGATGGTATTAATATTCCTTAAAGCTCGAGTACAGTCGCTTATACTTTGTCCAGAGATACACAATCCACAGTGCAATGCTAAGCTATCTGCAAAATATAATAAAAAATGCATGTTTCAAAAAGTATAAAGTTCAAAATTCAACTTTTCTGTCTTATATATTTTGTCTGAAATATATACTTATCTTCTGTTTTAAAAATTAACATATTTCATTCTTTAACTTATTAACTATTTTAACTTTGATAAAATAATAATAAGTTTGATGAAGTAAGAAACAATTATTTCATTTTTAAATAAAAGAAGAAAAGGAAATAAAAATTATAATTAAATCAATTTATGGACGTAACAACAAACAAATAAGACTTATTGGAAAGGAAATTTTTTTTAAAGAAAGTTTGTGTTATACCCTTGTATCTCCAAATAGGAAGATGAAGATTTCGTATTGCAAGTTGTAGGAAGAAGTCATCGCCAAGTAATTGTTGACCGTTTGCAATAGGTTCATATATATTGTCCTAATATAATATCAACACATAATATTAAATAATGATAAATATTTTGCAATACTTTTAAGAAAATTTTATTTAGCAAACATTGAAGTTTTACACTCACATGTTTTTTTATTTCATTTGATTCTATTACTACTGGATAATGATTTTCTTCTTCTTCACATAAAAAGTTTTTATTTTTACAGGCATCATCTAAAATAAACGATTTAAGAAATTTTCTACTTTTTTTAAATATCTCTAGTTCCGATATTATTTCCAAGTGATTTAAGTAACCATAAAATCAAAATATAAAATTTCAAACTATAAGATGTAAAATTAACAGAAATATAAAATAAAAAGATGTTATAAATATAGCAAATTAACAATAAATGGGAATAAACTCTCTCTTCGAAATTATATGTTCTTGAAAGAAAAACTAAATTGTAATTTTGTGGAATTTGGAATATTATATATTATTCTTCTCTTATTTTAAATTTAAAAAAGATTGAATATCTTACTGATACCAAATAAGTTTAGATCACGACGATAAGCAAAATCTTGACTTCGTCTATTAATGCGATTGTTATTATTAATTAATCTGTTCTTTTCTCGACGCTCATTGTTATTGTATTTGAGATTGCCATTATTATGTGTAAATTGTTTATAATATTTATTCTGAAATAAAGCATTATTATTACATAATTTTTGAAATTTATAATTATGTATAGATTTTGATTTGTAAAATTTTCTCTGAACATACTTTTGTCTTTGAATAATTGACTTTTTGTTTGCATATAAGTTTGTCGATATGAGATATTTTAGAATCGTTTATCTTTAATGTTTGTTCACCAAATTCGTTCCAAGTAATCTGCAAACCATCTATAGTTCGTAAAAACGAACGAAGATTCGAGAATCCCAATCTGCGATACGGAATTGATTCTCCGACGAGATTTTGAAACTCATCTGTAAAATCATCATTCTGTTAAGCTTGTAATTATAAATAATATTTATTTTAATTTATTTTATAAAGAGATTTAGATACGTTCTTATCATAATTATTCCATATACCATTGAATGTAAAACTTTTATTTTGTTAATTTTTATTGTTACATTATATTAAATTAACCTTAAGAAAATAAGCTGATACATTCATGTGTAAACTGTAAACTGATTTAATGTGAAGAATGTACAATTATAATTTTTAATATTAATTTTATTTAAATTTTATTTTATTTATTTTATTTATCAAACAAAAGAAATTCATACTTATATAAATGTAAGGCATTTATTTATAAATTAAAAAAAGTTTAAATAATAAGAGCTTAGTTATTGTAATATTTAATAAAGAGTATTTAATAATTTATATCTTGATATCTTTTAACAATGAATATTTTCTCTTATAATAATAATTTTAAAATAAAGATATTAATTAAAAATAATAATACTTACCGTTTAGATTTTCGATTGATACACCGCCTTTCTTTGAAATTATGCATGATTTGACCAATGCCACCGTTTCTTCCATGTCCGATTATTAATTTTAAAAATATAACTTTAAAATGTATTCTTCCGAGAAATTTACAAATTTTATATATATGCGAGTGAGTACGTTTAAACACAAATTATCACTGTGTAATATGTCTTATTGAAAAATTTAATTTTGGTAAAAGTTCTGCAGCTCCGCTGCTGTGATTAATTCAGACATGATGCCGACGTCCGCACTCGCGAACGATATACCGAAGAATGAGATTCATCACTCGACGATACCACTTATCCCCTCATTCATATACCCTCTGTTCTGGAAATTTCCGTGAATTCGTAAGTTTAGCTTGTGATCTATGTAGAAAAAAAATACTAACATAAGAAGAATGTGTGTATATAATGTTCGAATGAATATAGCGTGAAATCGTTCACGCTCGTATACTGTTCGTTAGGACGATTGTAACGAAATTCTAACAACTTTGAAAATCTTAGATATTCATGAAATTTCAGATATTAATACTTTTAATAATAGCTTTGATATAAGCAAATTTATATAATGTTATTTTCTGTTTAAGAATGGCGTTATAAATTTTGTCATAAACTAATGCTAAATATTTATAATTTAGTTAATTAATATTTATAATTAATATTTAATTTATAAATTAATTTAATACTGATTTGTAGAATATATATTTGTAGAATAATAATTTTCTCAAATAATTTTAATAATTTATATGTATAATTATTAAATAAATAAAAACATGTATATAATTATAATAAACGTATATATATAATTTTTTGCTGTTATATGTTTACGTTTTTTTTTTTTAATTTTGAGATAAATGTGAATAATATTTAATACATTAAATATAGCAATGTATGTTGCAAAATTGCAATTTTAAAACATGGTTAAAAATAAATTAGTCTATAAAAATTTATAACCTTAACATTGTTAGAAGAATAATGTTTAAAGAATTTAAACTAAAATACTTTAGGCATTATTCTGTAAGAAAAATTACATAATTTGAACCAGAAAAAACGTAAACATATAAAAAAATTATGTCAATTAAATGTTTATAAATTTAATTTATAAATGAAAATAGGGTGAAATATTTATATACATGATTTACAAATCTAAATAATTCTCCATATTTCTTAAATATTTCAAGGCCTTTAACCAGTCTAATCTAGTAAGTCTAGTCTATTCTGAATTCGCACGGAAAACGAAATTTCAAGTATCTATTATATGATATAAATGCTGACGATAGATTTCAAAATCTGTTTTAGAAACGTTTCTAGAAAATAATTTTTTGTAAAAAAATGACCTTGGATATAAGATGTCGTTTCAGAAGTGCTTATCACTTAATTTATTATTCATTATCATTCATTACTAGTCGTTAAATATTTTTGATATTGTTTCGGAACACCGTGTATATATACACGAACACTAATCCATAAAAACACCCTGTATAATTCTAGTCGGATGATAAAGCTACTCCAGTTTTAAGCTTTACTCACAAGATGGCTGTACTTTAAATAAAAGCATATGGAATAAAAGAATCAATTATTTGTATCTGTCATTATTATGTTTGAATTTATTTACAATTTTCAATTTCTGTCCCATTTCTATTTTGCAATAAATATACAGTTATAAATATTCTATATATATGTTATATTAAAGATATGAAAATTTTATTAGTTTAAGAGCAAAACCAAACAATTAATATCATGAAGAATTCATGAAAGAGATTAATCTTTTCACGACAAAATATAAATTATCAAAATGTTAATTTGCGAATTAATAGAATGTAATAAACAGTAAGCTTTACGCTGTTATACATAATATTCACATTCATTTGAATATATGTTTGCCGTAACGCAATAAAATGTAAAGTATTTCTTATATAAGATGTGTGTCAAAAATAGCATAATTTTTGCATGCAAATATATTCATTAAAAAAAAAAGAAAAATTATATATTGCCGCATGCATAAAGAATGCATTAAATGCATGCAACATTGAAACGATGTATATGTAAGCTCAGAACCGGATTTATTTTTTTGGAAGATTGCGCGAGATGCCGATACTTACAAGATTTCAGCTTCTCGACAAAGTTCTGGAGAGTTTTGACGGGTCAGTAACTCCGAAAATATTTATGTCGTCCCAAACTATTCTTACACCCGCGACATGGATATTTTTGGCTAATGTTGGGTAACTCCCGTATACGTTTTGTTGCTTTTTCCCTAATTACGGCTATTCGCTGTGATCTAAAAATATCGTTTCGTAAATCGCAAAAATGTGATTTATTTTGATGTCGCTAGTGACATTTCCATAAACAATCGTGCACGTAAGCGTGCAATAAAATCTCACATTCTTTATGTTTATTTTTCTTATTGATTAAACGTCGAATGCAAGCAAAATACATTATTTTGAGAATTACTTTTTGCTTTTGGAAATTATTTGTTGACATACATATATTCGAGAAATTTTACCATATTGTTATTATTTAAAGAAGCCTTTAGAAGAATATTTTTAAATATTTCTTTTTGAGATGATTGATTTTTGAGATGATTTTGAGATGATGATTTCAACTCTAGTCTCTATTTTAAAGTTGTTTCGATAAAAAATTTCTCGTAAGATTAAGGAAAAAAAATCGCATTTATCATGTCATCTTTAAATAAAACAGCGTAATAGGATTTAATATATTGCTTATTTTGTATCTCTCTAAATAATTTCATATAAAGAATTTATACACAAATCTTGAAATTAAGATAATGTCAAAGGCTGACGTTTGCGTCTTCTATGTTTTCTGTTGGGAAAAACTTGAAACGCCGATATAAGTGTTTGTACCCTGCATTGTTCCGCAATCTTCCGCAAACTGACGCCCCCCTCCCCCTCTCTCTATTCTTCTTGCACCAAGGCTTCCGATACGTGGCGTAACATCAGTTCATCTTCGCGGTGGGTGGAGGTGCTGGTGGAGGGCACACTTGTTATGAAGGAACCCTCGAGGTATCGAAGTTCCCGAGGAGTCTAAAGGGAGTCGCGCGTTGCAGGGGGCCAACAGATGTTGCGCCGAAGTTGAGAGTGTCGTTGTATGTCGCAATATAGCTCGTGTACCATTAGAATATTGCAAGCGTTATATGCGATATCGAGAAATATCTCTGCTTCAATAAGTCAAACACGAACACGATGTTAATAAAAATGATATCAATACCTTCAAAGCTATGAAATGCAAATTTTTAATTTCGGCAATGCTTGTCATCTCTCTAATTTATCGAATAATAATCCACGAAGGATTCTTTTACCTTTTTATATATTCCTAATTTAGTAATATTATTAAATTTTATTACCTGTATTTAATTACATAAATTGATACCGATAATTGCTTCTATTAATCATAAAAGCAAGAAATCGATATAAAAAATTATTTTGGAGTTGAAGCTTTATTTGTTTTTGTTTCCTAAAATGTTAATGCAAATTAGGATTATGTATGTTTTCATCCCGAAAAAAAGATTTTTAAAGATTCAATTGTAATAAATTTTTAATTTATCTCGTTTTCGTGGAATTGCTCCAAGAGATTCGTGTCCGTGGCGGTGGCGGTGCAACAGATATGAATTCCTCGGGGAAGTGCCTGGATCGTAAATGCACGGTAGAATTCCCTTAAGCCAGATATCCTGTCGGCGTAAACCTAGCGGTCCCATTCAACGGATTAAATAAGTAATTACAACGTTTCGCTGTTGTGTATTACGGAACGCGGACGTTTACCGCGGGCGGGAGACACGTCGCGTCGAAACAAACGCGTCGGTCGTATCTCGATGCTTTATGAGGGAGAGCATCTGGAAAACGCTTTCCGGCGTATTAAACGTACGGTGAAAGTTTCCGCGCGTGATTACTTGGCCAGAGGGAAGACAGGGGACGAGCGCTTTGAAATTCGACGCGGATCTGCGCCGGGAAATGTATGCATGTTAAAGAAACAGGCGTGCGAACAAACAGTCCACGAACAGGGTCCGGAGATGTCTGTAGATATTACAGTGATAAATGACCGATTTACAGGAAGATGATTCCGAAATTTTCTACATATTTAGGGGGTGACTGCAGAGTGTTGCAGATAGCATACGCAAAAGCATACTAGCTTCTAATAATCTATAACTTATCTATAAACTTATCTATAATATATCTTTAAATAATATAAATTATTTGTCCTAATATGTCTATTTATTTATAGACAGACAACTCTGTTTTTTAATTTAATATTATATTTTTAATTTAATAAAAATTAATAATAAGTTAAAGGCTCTGAAAATAAATCAAGAATATAAACAAAGAATTATTTGAGCTAGCCGAAGCTAGATGATAATGCTAAATATATTTTAATAAATATTAACGTTTAAAGTTCAACGCAAACGTTTCGATCTTCAATATCATCTTCAATGCAAACAATAAAAATAATTAAATAAAATATTATTCCTAATACATGTTCAAATTCGATTAAGAAAAATTTGAAGCGCCTTACAATCCAAGATATAAAATTGTAGCTGAAAGAGAAATCATAGCGCTTCGTTTCAAATCGAGTTGAAATCAAATCAAAAGAATTTGTTTCTAGCGACTATGATTGTATAAAAAATTTAATTTTATAATATAATATTTTATTTATATCCCATTTGTCATTTTTACTTTTATTTCCGATATATACTTATCTTTCCTTGTTTTCACGAAGATATATACTCGTCTCTTGTTTTAGATAGAAAAAGAATTACAGTTGTAGCTTCAATACATTGATCGCGCAATACACGGCTGCAATCTCGAAGCGACGTAATCTCTGTCGAGAAGACTAATCGATATGTGCATCAGCTAGTTGAAAAGCCATCGTTAGTCTCTGCGAAAAAAAGATACAGAAACCGTGGCATTAAAAACACCCTTTCATCTGCATTGTAATTATCCCCGCGTTTCTCTTGTATGCGTGGCTGCGAAAGCTCGGAATAATGAAGTGCGCGGCGTCGTGTGAACTGTAAACCGTGCTTCACGGCGAGCTTTTAAGGAAGATATGGCATTGTAGAATAGCTCCTTCATAAGAAGAGACTTCGGCATCGGGTGACAATATATCGTGACAAAACATTCACAATATATGAGGATACTTTACGGGATACGGAAAAAGCAGAGAAGAGAGAGAGAGAGAGAGAGAGAGAGAGAGAGAGAGAGAGAGAGAGAGAGAGAGAGAGAGAGAGAGAGAGAGAGACAAAC